TTTTTCGACGGTATTTAAAAAAATTTGTAGGCGGACATGTAAGCTGTGAATTAATGACACTTGGAGAATAAGTATCAGTTAGTCTGAGTTATTGACGTACGGGGAGTCAGCAAGAGGAGACTGAGTATGAGACCTAAAGGAGGTGGGGATATAGTTTTCAAACATTGGAATGCTAGGGGAGTTTGAACATGGATAGACTTGTTGGTGGTTAAATATTGGAGGTAGGGGAGGAGGAGGGTGGCTAGTAGGAAAGTAGGGGCTAGTGGCTGAGGGTAGGCAGCTATAAGAATGAAAGTGTGGGAAACCGGGTCTAGGTTGGAAGTCAAAGGAGATAGGTTGACGTACCTGAGAGCAATTGGCCTTAAGTGGTGGGAAGCCTGAACTAGGTTGGGGCATAAATGATTTAGGGCAATTCATGTATGAATTATTTGCTGGATATATAGTAGGGCTTTGATAAGTAACCGGTACGCAGGACAGAGAATTATTCGTGGATATAATTGGACCTGCGGGGTCCGTAGACGTGCTGGGCTGAACAGACTTGTTAGATCCAAGAGAAGGCGTCGTACCCCTAAATGGAACTGTACTACCTATCTTTTGGGTCGGAGTCTGATTCAATTTTCGAGTCTCACCGTTCTGACGCCAAGCCACTGGTGACTTAACTGTAGACCTTACAGCACCCAGTTGGACAACAGAAGTTATCGGTCTATCTGATGTAGACGGATTTTCATGTGTCCCAGCGGGACTATCCGGAGGATATGAAACGACAAATGGGGCTGCTGCTGCTGCAGATAGTTTAGGGGTAGGCAAATGCGTCAAGTGGTTCGAGTGAGATGGAGATGTCGGAGGAAGAGGAAGGAGGGAGTTAGATGTCGCAGGAGTAGGAGAAGCTAAATACTTACGGCCACTTGTATTATGACCGAGTTGGGGAGCATTAGACTGAGAATCAGTAGGTTTACGTGAGAATAGAGACCCCATTCTACGCTCCATAGGAGTAAGATCATGACAATGGTAAAATTTTGCCTTCTCTAGGTACGCAGAGACACGATCTCGATGAGTAAAGATTGTATCAATCTCGATTGATGAAAACAATTTGACTAAGATGTGTCGATTTGTACTGGGGGTGGACATGCGTTTGGCATCGGCTATTTTATAGTTGAAACCACATGAATACAGGAAATTGGTCGCAACATCGATTGGCCGAGCAGATCGAGGAACATTTTTTTAGCAGAAAGTTGTAAGAACGCTTCTGTCTATCACTAGATTCACTGGCGATCAGGTGAACAAGTGATTCGAGACGCCTATATTCCTCAGAGGGAATATCGGAGATGTTCCCGTCGAATAAATGTTCAAGAATTGGCAGCAAAGAGCCAAACTTTAGCATAAAGTCATTGCAGTGGTCAAGTGCAGACAGATTAAGCTGCCGACCAATTACAACGGGTGACGACTGACAAGTAATATCATGTGACTTAGATTTAGGTAAAGCTTCTGACTTACGTTTAGTTAGGCAATGTTTACTTACAAGAGCCGAGAGCTTACGTCGACCAGTGACTATTGGTCTCATCTTGTCTCGAGGCAATTTGTGATTAAGAAAACTTCTGGCAGTTAAGTTGACAGAATATCAGCTAGGAGCCAACGATGTAAAATAAATTACAACTGTTAAAGAGAAATCGAATGCACAAAATGAGAATTGCAGAGTGCGATTATTGAACAACGGGCATAGACTAGCAGAACTCGAAAGGGGATGGCAGCAGGCAGTTCTGAAAGAAGAGGCCTGTATTTAAGGAAATTCAACCAAAAAACTGGTACTAAAATTGTTTGGTCTCACAGAAAAATCACTTAAAATAATATCCTCAACTTATCTTCAAAATTAAAACCAGCTCCACAGTGATTTTATTCATTAATCTTTTCCAAACCCTGACAATAAATTACTGATGAAATATAAGTCTATGATGTACTCCGTTGTTGAGTTCATCAACGGCAAGTCTGCCGCAGTCGTAGCCGAGGCGTGGTTCTATGATAAGAATCGCGTCATGTGGCTGAAGAATGACAGACGGCGAAACATTCTTCTCGAAAGTAATGAGCAGTCGCCGAGTGAGACGAAAGTATATCCTGTCAGCTTGACTCTGGATGCGGCCCGGCGTCTGGCACATAAGGCCGGGGACATGCCAGACCTCTCCTTTTCGTAGCCCATGGTGATGGGCAGAGGCTTTAGAACGAAGTAGGATTCACTTGTGATTATGAAATTTTGTAGATTTGTCCGCAGATTAACCTCGGATTCGGATGATGATGATGATGACGAGAACATAGCGGAACGACAGCTTGTAAGGCGACTAGCTGGTTGGTTGTCGCCAGCACCCATACTTCAGTAAGTAGCAAAAAGTCTGATGGTCTGTACGCCAAGACTTGAGGAAAACGTACCTACTACCTCGGCCAGATTGAGGAGGCCTTCAACTACAGTAGTACCCACACTTCAGACTGCAAACGAAAAAGGATGCTTCTGTGGTGCAGAGTGACATATGTAAATCTGTGCACAGGGAATTTACATCTGTGCGGTTAGGACGTTCTCTACGCCCATGGATTAGATTCGTCTAGTAAAAAACTAGAGAACTTAGTCCATAATCAGACGGTCCATCATGAGGAATTTCGACAACATTGCGCCCTCATGGTTGAAATACTTTGGCAAATACATGACTCCACCGTCCTTGTCGGTCAAAGGTCTCCCGCACTGCGCTTGCCGCTATGCACGAAGGACGCATTCGAAGACTTCAAAGGGAAGCTAAACGATGATGCCGATTATCGGGATGAAATGGAATGTAAATATGCAGCTTTATTTATTCTATATGAGTTATAGATGAAACAACCCGTTTGAGTTAGCGGACGTAACAACAAGGAATTCGTGAGAAATATCCTCAAATAATCTGCTTGGACCACCCCGTTGCCATGACTACTGTTTGTGGTGGCTCAGTAGGAAAGCAATCCTTTATTGGTAGTCCTTTGTATGCAGTCCTGTGTGGTAAGTTTTCCTCATTTGTTAGCCGTTCAGATGCCATTCGCCTGAACCCCACCTTTGGTGATTGCGGCCACGAAATGGTTCGCCATACTGTCATTGATTAGTTTCATGGATCGAGGGACCGCTATGGCAGCCAGGCTAAATGTCGGCAGGCAATTGCAGGAAGTAGAGATGGTACACATTGCCCCATACTGTCTCCATCTGAAGACACATTAATTGCCATCGACGAAATTTACATACTTAAGGTTAAATATTCATACTACTGCGGTGAACTAAGTTAGTATGAAAACTCTTACTTACATTTTAAAGCATTACTTTCTTCCGCCGACGATTTTTTTCCCAACAATTGTTTTTCTTCAACTGTAGGAACCAGCCGTCGATGCGAGGACTTCTGAACGCCCAAATGAATGGCATAACATAAGTTAAAGTCCACTTATATACTGGCACCGACATTTATTATGATTGTACATATTTTACAATTCCTTTTTAGTTTCTACAACAAATAACTCATTCACATGAATTTGCCTCGCGTGCATTTGATATAGGGTGCCGATTAGTGGGTAAATGAACGGCGGGTCACTGTGAGTACTATGTAATACCGTAGTACTCTACGTACGCAAGGTGGGTTTCGACGTGTAACGTGGGAACAGTGAGGCACTGCGCCTCAGGGGACTCGCCATACAGGACGATATTTTAAAGTGGTGCCAAAAGTGGGCGGGATGTGGCGTCCCCTGCGCATTCTTTCGCTGGCGGGGCCGGGCTGAGCTATCGCGTTGAATACCCCGCCACATCTCCGCCTAGCCCCTTCATAACCCCCTCCACCCCCGCCATTTTTGATGGGGTTAGGCGGGGCTGGTGCTGGCAGGGGTAGTCACGGTTTGCAAAAAAATCTTTCGAAGGGAGTCGAATAGATCTATTAGAGCACCTCCTGGGCACCGTTAGTCTCCTTTCAATACAGGCAACAACCTAAACCAAACTCATCCCTTTAGCCTGCACTTTGTCTTTTTTGAATTTAGGTGTCTGCTTTGTCAATAAGTCGCGATTGCATAGTTTGTTTTAATTTGAACAAAAGAACATGATTTCCAAGGCAAAATAATAGCGAAGTTCGAAAAATGTACAATATATGCATTATGGAGAATGACGTGTAGCGTTTTGTAGGATATGTGGTCATGAATACATCATCCTTTTGTGTGACATGAAGGCCTTTGACATCGGCCTGCCATTGAAATTGTGTTCGAGTTGAACAAATTAGTGTCTGATAGCCACCGGTTGTCAAAATATTTGGGCATTGCCCAAGTGTTGCTTGGATTACCAGCTGGAAAAGATGAATATATATCAAGAGCAGTGAACATTGAGGGGTAAGTTATAGTCCAAGATGTCCGAAATATTGAATTATATATCATATTTTTTCTTGCTAATGTTTAGTATGCATATACGTATATGCATACTAAACATTACTAAAATTTTTTATCTAATAAGATACGCGACTTGATATTGCCTAAGTACTTAGGCAATATCAAGTCGCGTATCTTATAAGATAAAAAATTTGGGTAAAAATTTAATCGGTGGGTCCTTTTGAAATCGCAACGTGACTGCCCTAATAGCAAGCGAGCTCGCCGCGAGCTAACGTACTCTAGGGGGGTAGTGGCTCTTTAGCCTGCTCGTGATTTGATTGGTTCCTGGGTCGGGAGCGCCGGCGACGCGAAGGGCGCAAGCGGCCGCGCATACTTGCACTTGATTATCGATTAGCCTCGGCGGCCGATAGCCCTCCGGCTCTCGCCGGTGCCACTTTTTGCTTTCTCACGCTGCACTGCGCACGCCGTGTCCCAGTCAACGCTGCCATTGACTGTCTTTGCCTTATATCACTCTTGTTTGTGTTCTCTGTGCTCCCATTTTTCTCACAATAATGTTTACTCCTGTTAATAGGCGTAAAATACGGCGCCAAGCACTTAAGGAAGCAGAAGAAATTATACGAAGAATCAACGAAGAGATGGGTGAAATGCCGTCGTCGGACACATCATCCGGCAGCTGGTCTGAAAGCGACACGGATGATTCTATGTCCTCAACTTCTATGGCAAATGAATGCTCTTCTTCCTCGGAGGGCAGGAGTGAGCCTACGGACGAAGAAGTTGGTTTAACGGCAGTAGTTGAGGAGGAAGATCCAAGTCCTCGTGAAAGTTTGCGAAAGTGGGCTTTACGGTCTAAAATTCCGCATTCCCACTTGAACGATCTCCTCAAGGCTCTGAAACCGTGGTTGCCTGACCTACCTGCTGACGCACGAACGCTGTTGGGCGCAAAATACTTCTCTGCACCGAGCACGGCAATGGTCAGCGGTGAGTACGTGCATTTGGGTCTTCCCACTCAGGTCAACGCACAGTTGCGTAATTTAGCTCTCCCCCCTTCGGTAGATGAAGTCGTTGTGAGCCTAGCAATAGACGGTCTTCCAATCCATAGGAAGACCAAACGTGAATTTTGGCCTATTTTAGGCAGAATTAGGAAGCCAATATTAAGTAATGTCTTCACTGTAGGTATATATTGTGGAGTAGGTAAGCCGTCGGACGTGCAGGCGTTCTGCAAACCACTCGTCGACGATTTAATGTCGTTGAACGAAGACGGTTTGCTGCTCGATGGGGGTGACAGAAGTCTGCGCTTCCGTCTGGCTTCCGTCATCTGTGGCGCTCCAGCAAGAGTTTTCATAAAGCAGATTAAGAATGTCAATGCTTACTATGGCTGCGAACGTTGTTGCGTTAAGGGGGAGTACATCGATAAGATAGTTTATGATAGTGTTTCCGAACATGCTAGGACAGATGAGGATTTTTTTTCAAGGGACGATGACTGCCACCGCATTGGCGTATCGCCATTGCTGGCATGCAACGTGGGAATGGTAAGCTCATTCCCTTTAGATCCTTTGCATTTGGTTTACCTCGGTGTAATGAGAAGACTGCTCAACTTGTGGCTGCGCAGCCCTAGGGGCAGTGCATATAGGCTGTCTACATCGGAGGTATCCACTATAAATAAGAACTTGCGCGCGTTGAACTCGTACCTACCGAGGGAATTTTCACAGCGCGCTAGGTCATTAAACGACCTGGACACATGGAAGGGCACAGAACTGCGCCAATTTTTGTTGTACACTGGCGTAGTTGTTCTTTATGCTGTGCTTCCACGCAAGTTTTGGAAGCACTTCTTACTGCTTTTTACAGCAGTACGCTGCCTAGTACGGCCTCGCTCTTGCAGACACTGGGTCCCGTTTTGTCGCCGCATATTACGCATGTTCGTCGATAAATTTGCTTCTTTGTACGGTAGGAAGGAAATGGTGTATAATGTTCACAGCATCGTGCACTTGGCGGACGATGTAAAACGACATGGTCCGCTGGACGCTTTTTCATCGTTCCCCTTCGAAAGTTACCTAGGTAGGTTAAAGCGTCTGCTGAGGAAACCATCCCAGCCACTGCAACAAGTAGTGCGTAGGTTAGGGGAATTGCAGTCAGTGCCAAGTGATGTCCACCTTCAGCTGGAGTGTACGTGTAAACAACAGCATACAGATGGACCATTAGCGCAGCATCATGGTGCATTTACACAATTTAAATGTATTCAAATGGGTAACTTAGTCATTAGTACTACAATTGCTGATGGCTCAGTGGCCATCGATGATAAACTAGTTAGGATTAGAAATATAGTGCGATATGCATCTGTCTCCTAATCGTTCAAGTAAGTCTTCGGTTTGGCTATTACTTATATAAATTTCAGATGGAGGGCATGTAACTAGCTCCCCCAAACAGAAGCGAAGAAGAGATGAGCAATCAGTTGCCCACCGGAGACATAGGCATCATAAGAAACGATCTCATTTGACAGCCTCCGGTATAAAGGAAATACTGGCTAGGCAAAGAGAACTAAAAGCCCAGATGGAAGCAATTATGGAGGTTATTCGTCACCTGGCGGCATCCAACTCACTGCCGTCAGTAGGTTACATGTAACCTACTCCTGAATCTGCGCAGATTCCAGCGCCGGAATTCCTCCCAGTGATGTCTCTATTTCTGGTACCTAGGTACTTTACGCTCTTCCTCTGCATTACTAAAGGTGGATGTGCTCTATCTTTCCCGCTCGTTAGTTTGTGGCCATGCTCATTCGAACAGTAAATGTCTGTCATATAAGGCGACTTCGAAATTTGCCACGACTAGCCAACTCTCGCTCTCAAAAACATTTTCTATTCAAGAGTTAGGTTTAGACACTAACGGACGCATCGGACACAGTTTATCACCACATCTTTGCAGCATCCACCGGCTTCATAAGAACAAAGATTAACTGGGAACGAAATAATGTATAGTGCCTGTCGCAGCACTATTGCCTTAAGCTTCTGCGCCCGAGTCCGTCTATAATCGTCCTGACTCCGTCTTGCCGTTGAGCCACTGCGAGTGAGATAGAAGGTGGGGCAGTTTCTATACAAATTTACTTAGATTGTCATCCAGCACATGCCCAAGTCATCGCCTCCATTCGTCACCTTGTGGGACACATGTTGGATATAGTCGTTCTCGATGGTGAAAATTTCGTTGGCGTTTTCGGGGATGCATTTCGTGCTGCGGAGGAATGACAGCGAAACAGAGTGCCTCGAATACATCTCGCCACACTCTCATTTCACCAAGAACAGGGCAGTTTGCATACACCCGATTTCGTGCGTTTGCTTATACATCATGCTCACGCCATTTTCGCTTGTTCACGTCAAGTGTTCTCGTTTCACTCGCCCGTCCATTTTAAACAGACGCCACATCTTGCCGAAACAGGTGTCAGAACATCAATCAAGTATGCCCTGACGCTGCATCTAGGAGTTCATCTGTCAACCTAACTCCCAAATCCGCGATTTAGTGGACACGAGCTACAAATATGTGATTGTCTGTAATTGCAGCAAGAGACGCGCCTAGTCAATCTACCTTTAACGGAGACTAGTCCTGGGATGATCTTAATATCTATAGGCAAACTCGACGAAGATGCTTAGCGTACATAAAAGCAATGAGGAAATATGGAAAATAGGCCTAAATCATGTAAAAGACGTGAAACCTATGTGATAAGTTATACGGCCAGGCACCAGAGTATACAGTGCACTCGTTATCAAAATTCGCTTCCTAATCTAATCGTCACTCTTCTTCTCTACCTTCAGTTCCATCTACGTCTTCTGGACTGGTTTTCTCAACTTCCTCAGTCTTCAATTGCTGCCACGTGCGGCCTAGTGTGATTAAGAATTTGAGTGGATAATATCTGCCAAATGAACATACCGTCATGTTTGAATGGAGAACGGTGTGATCTTCCTCATCAAACCGGTGGCGGCCTAGTCCGGTGGACACAAGCGACAAACCCGCCGTAAATGCACTTTGTATTGCAAGTGCTCCACACAATCCCGCTCGCGACTAGCATACAGGAAACGAGTCATCCAACGCAAATCAACGACTCCTCTCGATGCAACCACCATTGCCGACGTGGAAGCCTCTGCTGCTGGTTTCTGCCTTCGGCGTAAACGATCACGCCAACACCGGCTGGCTGACGATGCTTGCAAGCATGATGACGCTTTGGTCGCCCTACCGGCATAACTGCTTCCTGCGGCCATTGACCATCTTCAGGCAACCTGCGGGATAACAAGACGATTCTCGTTAAAAATGTTTCGCTGTCTCTCCACACAGTCAAATTAACACCGAGGTCGGCCTGCGTACCCTTTTAACTCCTCCGTCCGCATTTCTCAAAATGCATTCGTGTAGGTGCGGTGGAGATTGGTGACCACGAGGCGAACCTTGTTCTCCACGTTTATGGCAACTTGCACTGCTGTGCGAATATCGGGCTGTGATGTGTAAGAGCAGATGAGTGGATGAAAAGTCCGTGTCAGGCTACTTACGCGGCGGTTGCGGTGATTATGCAGATGATGAGACCTGATTACGTCGAGGTCCATCAACTCCTCCCTTTGAAGGCATCGTGAGCCCTTGACAACGTAGTAGTCTGTTATGTATATGGGGCGTTAGGGTGCACCTACCTGACTGGCAGCCTGCGTTCTGATCATTTGCATATAAAATGTGCGGAATAAAGCTTGGAACTGCCTGAGGTGTCGCATAATGCAACTTTGCAGCAGATTCGCTGGAGCTTGTGTCCTCCCTCCTCAAAGATGGACTGAGGGTCTTTGTGTCCACTTTTCGATCGCCATTGTACTTTTTGTACTTCTTACGAAGTTTCTGTACGTTGGTCTTCAACCATCGCATCATGTATATTTTCAGCTGGACGCTGGACTTCTCCGGCCTCCTATAAGCTGTCTTGGTGATGGATGGCACCAGACCGTCTAAAACCCAGAGGTAGGGATTAATTCACTTGGTCTCTGCCTCACCCGGGTTGATGGCACTTTTGTAAGCAGCGACAAGGGCTGAAGACATCTTGTCGGTGCGAGTTGTTCGAACACAATGACAGAGGACGGGGTGTTGCAGCCAGTTGTAACAGTGTCTTTGAAGGCTGCTCAATCGCAAGGGACGTATATGCGGAGAGCGTTGCCGCCCACGTGTTTGTTAATGTTTGCGTTCAATAAATTGCCCTTTGAGCAGGGGCACCATGTGTGCAACCTGCCGACTACTTTTCCTATTTTATGCTAAGTGGTTTTATTTCAGTAAGCAGGAATAAGACCGCGTGCGAGCGTGTTTAGGACAGATGGGACGTGTGTAGAGTGACTGGCGGAGAGGCCTTGGAGTGTGTAGCGACTGCGCGGAGTTGATCGTGGCTGTAGTTTGAGCGCTGTTACCACCAGGTCAAATCCTATGCTGGAAGGAGAAGACAAACGGCACGAGAATGAGAAATTTATTGTGCACAGAACCCGAATTTGTCCTTTCAGTTGGCAGTGGTCATTGGCGAAGCCAGGGCTGGTATTGACTGCGTCCAGTCATGCCTGAGAGTCCCTGGGACAGTGGTGGCAGCCGCTTTTGTAAGCTCGTGGGTCAGGCGCAGGTGGTCTCCAATGTGTGTGTGTGTGGGTTTGTGTCGA